GAGAGAGAGAGAGAGAGAGAGAGAGAGAGAGAGAGAGAGAGAGAGAGAGAGAGAGAGAGAGAGAGAGAGAGAGAGAGAGAGAGAGAGAGTGCTAAAAAGTTGAAAATAGCCTACACACCTCCTTTGAGTCTTCTGATCAACGGTTCAAACACACCAGCCTCTGCCATCTTTACAACATTTGCATCAAATTGTCCAAGGCGCTGCAGGACTGCCATTGCGTCATTCGCAGCAGCTTCTGCATCGGTGTTGCTGCATAGAGTCGCAAGCAGCAGAATAGCACCCTGTGTCCGCCCGAGCTCCTCTGCTGCCGCTTTCGTATGGGTCAGTTCCAACAGGAGTGCCACAGCCTGACGAGCTTCTCTGATATCTCTAGAGAGGCTGCGCACAATAGATGGAAGCGACTCAGAAGCTATCACCTTCTCCTGCACGTTATACACACCGTCATCCGATAGCCACACAAGTCACATCAACATTCAATTTAGGAAAAACTTCACCATTAAAATTTTTCAACGCCGTGGCCATCCCAACTCGCAGTGGTAAATACATGCAGAGGAGTGCACGCCCGAGAGAGTTGTGTGCCAAATTCTATTTAGTTAAACCACAAGTACACGGCCCCAGCCTTGCAGTCCGAAAGTTGTCGCCACAAGAAAACGAGGCCGAAGCCTGCCGTTGATAAATTGGATCGGCGGTCTCGTTTTCGTTTCATGCTTCCAGAATTCGAGGTGTCAGGCCCGCAGTTAGCAGTCTGTATGTGAAATGGCAATGCACTAATAATACAAAAAACTGCCAGTGATATACCGGCGGAAGGTGGGGATGATGTCAAGTCCGCATGGCACAACTGCCCACCTCTGTGCCCAGGTGAATGCAACGCCGACCAACACCAACTGTACTATTTTTATCCTTGGGTACAGCACGAGTCCTTTTCCCGCAGGAGTGTCTTTAATGACAGTCCGGTACTCCTCGATCCCTCATAAGGCTGGCCTGCCCAACATTACCTCTATGTGGAGCAAGATCTCAAAGGACAATGCAGCAAAGCATGCGTGAACTACTCCCATGTGTTGGCATGGTGACCGTGACCCGTGCTTCATCCAGGGCCTTTCAGAGGCACCGCCCTCTCCCACCACATGCGTCACCAGGAAGAATGTCGTCTCTCAAGGCGGAGCAGATCTCAACTCCTGAACCAAGAGAGGACTCTCTCTCCCTCACGGTAAGAAGAAATTGAGGGGGGAAGATAAGGTCAGGAACAACGTACCTGTAGATAGCTGTCCCCAACCACAGATTTCTCACCAATTGTGCCGACGTGCATTTTGATGACCGGTGATAGCCTCTGCACCACCCACAGTATAATGCAGTGCCACCTCAGCACAAATACCATGTCAGCATGCACCCGCTGAACCAAAAGCCTTCCTGCCCGATCCTCCCTACTGAGGATCGGACACCAAACAAACTAGTGTCAAAGTATCCTCACTGCGGAGAACCTTCGTCAACGCACCAAGTAACCAAGACACCAGTGTCGCTGAGGCCATATCTGAACCCGCTCTGATACCAACTTGCAAGGAAAATGAGCAAGAGCGATAGACAGAAAACCAAATTGCAACATCACATGGAATACATGTCAATGACAGCCCCTTCTCGCCACCACTAACAATATATCCAATGTCGCTCTTCTTCATTGGCGCTCAGCGCCCAGCCTATCCTACTCAGCACCTAAACTAGCCTACAGGATGACCGTGCGTTCTATTGGGGGGAAGAAAGTAGTAGCTAATAGCACAAGTGGCAATGGAAGGAGCAGGAATAATAGTAGGAGGCGAAGGAGGAGAGGAGAGAGGAGGAGAGGAGGAGAGGAGGAGAGGAGACTACAACATGCAACAGGAACGACTTCCAGCCAAAGACCAATGTACATGACGAAGTTGCCCATGCAGATTGTCGCATACATCAGGCACGTGTCTCTCCTCTCTATCCCGTTCCTGTCTCACAGTGTGCGTCCCCTACCCGAAGACCACCACCTATCCTACTCAGCACCTAAACTAGCCTACAACTACAACATGCAACAGGAACGACTTCCAAACGAAGACCAATGTACATGACGAAGTTGCCCATGCAGATTGTCACATACATCAGGCACGTGTCTCTCCTCTCTATCCCCTTCCTGTCTCACACTGTGCGTCCCCTACCCGAAGACCACCACCACCTTCACCAGCCAACCCGATCAGGCCCGGCCATGGCCACTTCCGCCCGCTGCTCCTGCAGCACCCCTCACTCCATGGCCACTTGTGCCCGCTGCTCCTGCAGCAGCCCTCACTCCTCACCGCCCATGTGCACTCCCAGCCAGCGCCCAGCTTTCCTATATGGAAACTGCTGCCATGCTTGGAGCGGCCTGGGCCTGGATGTCAGGTTCCCAGTAGCTTAGCGTTGGGCCAAAGTGTCTGCGCCCAGGCCCATTCGGATAGCGGCCTGGGACCAGAACAGTTAGGCCACGCCCAACTGTGTGTCGTGGCTCACGTCACTCGCTACTCTCCGATTGGCTGAAAGGCCTGGAGCCACGTCACTGCCTGGAAGAGCCTGGGAGGCTCACGAGTCCTTGGTCACACAGCATGCCGGGGCCCCTCGACCAACTGGCGTGTGGTAATTGTCTGGCGCCCTCATGTTCAGAATTGGCCTGAAAAAGGCCGCAAAGGAATAATGCAGGCCCACCTTCACTTAGGGCAGGCATGAGGCTTGCATGGGGCCCCAAAGGTATCAGCTGCTGGGCCCTAATGGCCTTGTGAGGGGCTCATTCCTCACACACTACACTTGAAAAATGATACAGAACGAGGTGGTATTCACAAGGACACACACAAAAGTCACCACCGCATAGGAGTCTTCAACTCCTTCTAAACCAATCATTTCTCAACAAGGTAAAAGACACACAAATTGCATACCAGTTTGCTGTATTTAAACTGAAAGCAGTGCCAACCACAACTGTAAAAAAGGGGCGTTATAGTCCGGTGAAGACGATAGACAAGGGGGTTCTGGTCCTCAAAAAGTGAAAAAAGAAAAAGGCAATGGCCTTGAGGTATAATCATCATTGAACTACCTGGTCTTCAGAATTCAGAATTATTCCTTCCCAGTTCAATTAGTTGCAGCTGGATTCGAACTCAGGTCTGTCTTTCAACACTTGATGAGCGTACCAACTGAGCTAGGCCCGTTGGTTGGTCCTCGCTTCTGCTGTTTAACATTTTTTGTCAAAATTGAAAATACTGCACTGCTGTTCAGGACAAGAAGGTTCTGGTCCTCACAATGTGCCAAACAGTCGGAGACTCAGCAGCTTCCAAACAGAGGTGCATCATGTTTGGCACGGACCTCGAGAATAGGAGTAGGATAGTTGGAAAAAAAACAAAAGACCAAAAAAGTAGGATAGGAGCAGACAAATAGTCGAAGTCAATCTGGGAGGCCTGCGACCCCAAGGTTTCTTTTTTACCAGCCCAAAAGTCCAAAAATGGAAAATTCCTGCCCCTCAAAACAATAGAGCCTAGTTTGCTATAGAATTGTCAGTCACAACAGATACTGAAGAGGATATTTCTTGCAGTGCACCAGGGTGGGCTTTTAACCTAATGGTTGCAGATCCAAATCTTGCCATATAGAGGAGCTGCAAAAACGTTCACGGTACCAGTAGAAAAAGAAGATGAGGGAGAAGCGAAGTTCTCTTGAAGTGGGAGCAACAGAGTTCAAGAAACAGATAAGACGAGAGCCAAGGCAGCCTCCGTGCGACTCGATTTGCATGTCCCAGAGATAGTTTAAAAGGAGGTCACAAGCCTCACTCCACCACTCGCCAAGGAAGGAAATGGGCAAGTGTATTTTTCCATTTTTAATGGAACAAAGTTACAAAACACAATTGCTGTGATCAACTCAGACTCACTCTCCACACAACATGCACAAAGAAAGCTCACATGAAGATTCACACCAAGACAAGATATGGAACACCAAATCAGCACAGCTCAAAAATTTCAATGAATTCTCAAATTATACAAACTAGTTCAGATACTCAGCCCTCATCAGCGCAATCAACAACTTCAGCGCCACCAACAACACCCCCAATCAGGTATGTATCCTCAGCACCCTCTCTCTCTCTCTCTCTCTCTCTCTCTCTCTCT